TCCTGCTTTTCTCTGCTGCTCCCCCCTTCCTCTTTGGAATAAAGAGAAAGTAATGCTCCCTTTTCCAGGAGATGAGGACATCCTGTCTTTGTTCTGGTAACATACATTACATGACCAAATGGTCCAGGACTAGGAATCTGTATTGGCCTTAAAGCAGCCCTGCTCTGGGTTTTGGTGAACTGATACAGGCCAAAGTGGGATGAAGCTGAAGAGTCATGGGCACAGTCCCATGTGTGAACAGGGGCTCCTCATCTTTCTTCGACGCCCTCCACTCCTCCTCAAAAGCTTCTCCTAAACGTCAGGAGGGACATTCTGGTGTAGCACCCGAAGGACTGCCCCCCATAAGGAAAAACTAGCTGCCGCCATGCTAGTACAAGAACAGTAACACTCCCAGTATGTTTGAGCACAATTCAAAGTGTTGGTGCTGACCTTTAAAGCTCTAAACATCTTTGGCCCAGTATACCTGAAGGAGCGTCTCCACCCCCATCATTCTACCGCCTCCTGGCGGTTCCCTCCCTGCGAGGAGTGAGGTTGCAGGGAACCAGGCAGAGGGCCTTCTCGGTAGTGGCACCCGCCCTGTGGAACGCCCTCCCACCAGATGTCAAAGAGAACAACAACTACCAGACTTTTAAAAGATGTCTGAACGCAGCCCTGTTTAGGATAGTTTTTAAAGTTTGATGTTTTATCGTGTTTTTAATATTCTGTTGGGAGCTGCCCAGAGTGGCTGGGGAAACCCAGCCAGATGGGCGGGGTGTAAATAATAAAACTATTATTATTATTATTATTATTATTATTATTATTAATTATTTGCGTGCACACATGTGCTTCTTTGGATCATGGTCTGTACTCTTAATGCGCACTGTTTCCTAGTGTGTGTGCATGCACCATCCATCACATTGCAGTGCAATGTCCTGTTGCTGCTTCAGCTTGCCCCCTCCTCATGGATTGGGAACCTGTAGCTCTCGGTTGCCACATCATGGAGTTCTTAGTGTTTATAGAAATGGGATTTTGAGATGTATGCCTCAGAGAAAATGACACTCGAAACACACCCGGCGTGCATTTGAACAGCACAGCCGGAATGTCCTCTTCCGGCCCTTCATCATGTGCCAGATGAAACATCAATGTTTCCTTTGCATGTGACCTCTATATGTTAGACCTGTGAGAGCACAGCTCTGTATTAGTGATTTATTGCTCATTCCAAGCCTGGCAGGAAGAGGTTAATGTGGGGTGTTTTCCAGGGTTTGTGGAACGTACAGAACGGTAATCTCTTCAGAGCCAGCCCTAGCTTGTTTACATAGCCACATTAGTGCATGAAATGTGGACTCTTCCCAAGGTTCAGTGATAGAAACTCAGATACAGTGGTACCTTGTTTCTCAAACCTAATCCGTTCCAGAGGTCTGTTCCAAAACCAAAGCGTTCCAAAACCAAAGCACGCTTTCCCATAGAAAGTAATGCAAAATGGATTAATCCGTTCCAGACTTTTCAAGACAACCCCTAAAACAGCAATTTAACACGAATTTTACTATCTAACGAGACCATTGATCCATAAAATGAAAACAATAATAAAATAAATAAATAGGACAGTATTGTAGATGATAAAAATAAAATTACTATTTTTTCTTACCTGCACTGTTGATAGTCATTGTTTGGATGGGGGGCTTTCATCCATTTCCGCAGCCATAGAATCAATCGGTCAGTAGCTGAACTGGGTTCCCCACAGTCACAAAAGCCAATGAACTGAAAAAGCCTCAAAAACAAAAACGCAAAATAAATCGCAAAAACAAAAGTGGCACACTTAATCTGTTCCGGAAGTCCGTTTGAATGTTCGAAAACCAAGGCACAGCTTCTGTTTTGTGCAGGTGCCCCAGAAACAATAGCCGACAGTTGCATCGGACATTTGGCTTCCGAAAAACGTTCAACAACCAGAACACTTACTTCTGGGTTTTCGGCGTTTGAGAACCAAAATACCTCTGTATACTGTATTAGCTAGGCACCAAATGCCTCCTTCAACCAAGATTACAGTTGCCATTTTGGAGCCAGACAGCTCTAAAGTCTTTTTTTCCAATACTACCTCTTGGTTCCTGAAATTGGTTCTGATTGTGCAGATGAAATATCGCAGATAGAATTCTGAGGGATATGTTGCTAGTTTGTGAAAACGGGCAAGATCCAAAGATTCCCCAGGCATGCACCTCCAGATGGTGGAGACATCGAGCACCAACCTGACACACGGGCATATTCACTTGGTCGCAAGTGTCCGATAGCTAGGTGCAAACACCTGGTGAATTTTGAATGCTGTTCGCCTCAGGTGTCAAAATGTCTTGGACCGGTCCTGGTGGTGTTTAATAGCGCATGAAACATTGGTTAGGAACCTTTAGAATTTTCTCTTTCACCCTTTCCAATTGCTTGTGCATTTTCTTGTGCACTCATTTTGAAAGGTGCCATTTTTGTGCATGCCTTGATCTTTGCCCTTTTGCTGTGGTTGTCTCGATAACCCTTCACAGCTGTGCAAATAGAAGTGATGTCAGTGCTGGACCTCCAGCCACTCACAGTTAACTTATGGAGAAGCTTGGTGAGGCATTCAGTGAGTCATTTATTAGACAGTGTGTCCCTGCTTAAATTTCTAGTATGTGACTGCTGTAGGCAAGTAGTACTGCAGGTTTTCTGGAAGCCGATCAATGCCATCTTGCTATAAAACCAATAAAATATTCTAAAGAAGGATTTAAAAGCCTTGCAAAGTATTTGATCTTTATGGTCTGCAGACCAAATAAAAGGAGCTGGTTATGAACCAAGGGTGGCTGAATTCACACAGCAGGCTATATGTTTTCTAAAATAGATAAAAATAGCTGTTAGCAAGAGCTTAGCTCCTCTAGAAACAGCAACTGTGACCTAAATCAAAAAGAATGTTCTGATAGGGTTAAACCAACAACTGCTAATCCCTTTCCCTAAATCTCTCTTTCGATCATGCATTAAAAAGGGATCTGTTTCTCTCCCTCCCTTTGCATCTTTGCAATTCTGCCAATTAATATATTTTTTGCATCTCTGCAGTTCTGAGGGCTGGAGCTTAGCTCCAGAGCCTGTCTGCTTGCATAGCCAGTGTGGTTTATAGTCGGGCATGATGAGAATGGTTGTCCAAAACATCTGGAGGGCACCAGGTTGGGGAAGGATGCTTTGGCATCTGGCCTGGGAGGCAAATGGGAATTAAATCTCCTTCGTCCCTTCCATCCGCCAAGCCTTAACACATGGGATGGCTTCTAAGTTTGAGTCTATCTCCCCCCCCCCCGCCATTCTCTTTATGCCTTCCTATAGCACTGAGCTGCAGCTGTTTCTCCCTGTCCAGTAGTTTTTGGCTGGTACAGCATTTTCCAACCTCCTGAAGCTTGGGGGGGGGGCTGTATTTTCCTCTCTTCCTTTCACACCCCTAGCTGGTGATTCTCCCTCAGCAGCAAGACCACTGTGTTCCAGACATCTCCCCCTCTAGCCTTGCCTATGTAGTGTTCCTGCTGGGGGGTGGGGCAGAGGTAGGGGCAGGAAGCTAAGGAAGTGGCTGCTGCACTATCCTCACCTCTTCCTTCTTCGCATATTTGCTTTCGATGATGTGAGATTGGAAATCAACAGTACTGACACAGTGCTCATATTTTAGTGGTTCGGAGTAGGAATTTTTCCCCCTTTTATAGTACAGTGGTACCTTGGTTCTCGAATTTAAGCTGTGTTGGACGTTTGGTTTCCAAAAAACGTTTGCAAACCGGAACACTTACTTCCGGGTTTGCGGCGTTTGGGAGCTGACTTGCTCAGGAGCCAAGCTGTTTGAGTACCAAGGTACTACAGTGGTACCTTGGGTTAAGTACTTAATTTGTTCTGGAGGTCTGTTCTTAACCTGAAACTGTTCTTAACCTGAAGCACCACTTTAGCTAATGGGGCCTCCTGCTGCTGCTGTGCCGCTGGAGCCCGATTTCTATTCTCATCCTGAAGCAAAGTTCTTAACCCGAGGTAATATTTCTGGGTTAGCGGAGTCTGTAACCTGAAGCGTATGTAACCCAAGGTACCACTGTACTGTATTGTTCGATGAGCCCTTTTAGGAATGCTGTTATGTTTTGCCTTTATCGCTGTTGGGGTTTCTAATTGATCTTTAGCTGTTAAGCATTGTTACAAAAGTTGGGTGCCACCCACTCTCTCTGCCAAGCCGTGGCAGGAGCCTATGGGGTTCCAGGCACTTGTCTAGGGTCTTTGTTCCTTTGGAGAACTGAGACATGGCAGAGACTGTCATAGCTTTAAGAAGTATGGTTTATTCACCTTCAGTTTGCACGATAGCGTGGTCATTTCAAGAGGGGCTTGTACCCCACAGCAGGGCAGCCTTGGAGTCCAAAGCATCTCTCCAAGTCAGCTTGCAGCCAGCCTTCCCCAAAAGGATCAGGGTCTTCCTTCCTTCCTTCTTTCTTCCCAGCAACCTGTTATAAAATAAAAACTGCTCCCTTTCCCTTATGGGGTATTCCGGAGCCTGTATAGAGTCCTTAAGTGGGTTCCCTATTGGTAGGAGAAAAATAACAGGCCAACCAGAGTATATTGAGAAGCAAAGCGGCTAGTAAGCCTGATCTTTATTAAAGGAACTGGTGCAACAGGGTCCCCACTCACCACACGCAGGAGGGAGGAGAACCCTGAACAACGGTGCTCAAGCCCCTAGATAGACTTTTGAAATTGCCCACCCTGTAGCCCAAGACCACCCCCTGAAACAACATTGTTCTCTTGCATTGCCAATAGCCCTCAATGGCCCTGTATTTGGTGTGGCCCAGAGAAGAAAGCTTGAAAACCACTGGTTTAGATGGGTTGCAGGTATCCTATCGCTGAAATCCACCAGTCCCTTGAAATCCATTCATGTGATGCTGTTGCTTTGGGGGAGATGGACTGTGCGTCTTTCGATGACAGTGGAGGAAGGTGTTTTGGGGTGGTGGATAGGCACTGCCTTCTAACTAGCATCTCACCAGCGTTTCCTTGTCCTCCTGCAGATCTGTGCCCTTCTCTTTGCCAGCCTCTACATCCTGTGCTACTTCATCCTAACACGCTTCAAAAGGCACACAGACTTCACAACAGGTAAGGTGGGGGCAGGAACTTGGGTGAACAGGATCTAACCCGCCCTGTGTTCATGTCTTGCTCAACGTTTAGGTTTTTAATAAAGGGTGGCTTGGATTCCTTAGGGAGGCATGGGAAGCAACGTTTGTTCTCTGCCAGGAGATGCTAACCCAGCTAAATGTGACTGTGGTCCTATGCGCATCCAATGTTTGCGCATGTTTGGGACGACATCTCTGCTACAGCAATGCTCTTTGGGCAAGCTTTTGTGTCTCTAGGGTTCTTATGCTTGATAGAGCCTGGTGATATCTGGTTTTCTTTTTTAAAAAAATATTTTTATTAGATCTTCTACAAACAACAAAGAATAAAAATAAACAACAACAACATACCGTATTTTTCGCTCTGTAGGGCGCACTGGACCATAGGGCGCACCTCGTTTTTTTGGAGGGGAAATAAAGGGGGGGAATTATCCCCCCCCCCCCCGCAGCCCCAAAGAGCAAAGAAGCCAAGACAGCCAGCGGGATCCTGCTGGCTGTCTTGGCTTCCTCTTTAGCCACGCACAACCTCTCCAGACGGGAGAGGCTGCGCGCGGCTTTGGCAGAAGCCAAGACAGCTAGCAGGATCCATCCCGCTAGCTGTCTTGGATTCCTTTTTAGCTGCGGAGCTGGGGCGGGGGAAGCCCGAGCTTCCCCCGACCCCAGCCTCCAGGACGGGTCCGGGAGGAAGGCGAGGTTGCACGGAACCTCGCCTTCGCTCCCAGAGCTTGCCGGGCTGGGGGAAGCCAGAGCTCTGCCTGAAGCCCAGGGTGCGCAGCACAGCGCTCCCTGGGCTTTGGGCTGCAGGCTGCTATCCGCAAGCCTTGGGAGCCCGGCAGGAGTTCCCGCTGGGCTCCCAAGGCTTGCGGATAGCTTCCTGAAGCCTGGAAAGCGAGATGGGTCGGTGCGCACTGACCCCTCTCGCTCTCCAGGCTTCAGCGAAAGCCTGCATCGCTCCATAGGACGCACACACATTTCCCCTTCATTTTTGGAGGGGAAAAAGTGCGTCCTATAGAGGGGAAAATACAGTATACAAAAGCACTATCAAATCCATGAAATAGGATTCTCTGAATCCTTTGACTTCCCTCTACTCCCTTAGATTTTCTTTTTCAGCTGCATATCATTAGTACTCTGAGCCTCTTTTCCTCCAAATTTTCCTACACTATCTCTACAATTACAAGTGATCTTAAAACCCTGCCAATGTATTAACCCGCTTACAATACTTTTGCAAATACATAATAAACATTTCCCAATGTATATTCGGGGATATCTGGTTTTCAGCATTGTGCTATATCACCGGTTTTAAAGTTGTCCAAATATAAACAAGTTAACTTACTAAACCTCACCATAATTTAATAATTATCGGTCTCTGTATTTCTAATAGGGTAACCAAATCAGTAATGTTTGACGTAACTGTAATAACTACTCTGAAAATTTATTATTCCAACCTTCATCTGGTTGTAAATGTTAAGATTATACCAGCAAGAATGAGTCTTTCTGTAAAAAGAGAGAGATTTAAATCAAGTCTTACTGACTACTGATTTAATTCGTGATTTAAATCAATTTGATTTAAATCAAATCCACCCTGTGTGAAACTATGGAAGACATTGTGCCCCTTCTTCCCCAGCTAGGTCACTCTAGGGAGGGGATATTCCCCGGTGTCTGACATCTTTGCAGCAGCTTTCATATATATATATTTGCAGCTAAACCCTGTGGAAAAGGCCTTTTCCTTCATGCTTCGGTTTGTTTACACTGTGGTTAGCCTAGTTGTCCCGGGAGTGGTTGGCCTAGGCAACATGGGAACATGGGGAGTACGGTTATTCAAGAACCATTTTCCATCGCTTCAAATGAGCACTGGAACTGAATTTTATGCAATCTGATGCTGGAGATGACTTGCTAGGCACAGGGTCCATTACGAGACCAGGAAGAAGCCATGCGCAGCCCCAGGTTGCGGAGGTTTTGCGCTCGGTTTCCATGCCAACCCAAGGGTTATTTCCCAGAATGCTCAGTTCCAGCAAAGGAGTAGTCAAGAGGAGTCCTGCTGGCCCATAGAACTAAAGGTGCTGGAGTATTGTATTTTTCACTCTATAAGACGCACTTTCCCCTCCTAAAAAGTAAGGGGAAATGTGTGTGCGTCTTATGGAGCGAATGCAGGCGGGAGGCTCTGCTCAGCTCTCCCTTTAAAGAGCCACATGGAGCGTGTGGCTTTTCCCCGAGGAGGGAGAAGGGCTGCTTGGGGAAAAGCCCCCAAGAGCCGCACACACACTCCGCACGCTCTTTAAAGGGAGCGCAGCTCTTGGGGGAGCCTTAGCCGTCTGCAGCCTCTCCCGGGCAGGGGGGTGAAGGCTCCCCCTGCCCGGGAGAGGCTGCACGCGGCTGTCCCATAAGCCAGGACAGCAAGCGGGATCGCTGCGCACACATATCAAAGAGCCGGCAAGGGAGCAGTTAACAAAGGAGGAATTCAAGACGGGGCCTTCTCTGTGGTGGCACCTCAGTTCTGGAATCCCCAGCCCTGATTATCTTTGGAGGGGCAGGGAGTAAACCCTTTTTATTTTGTTGAGCCTCCAGTAGTGTCGAATTAGAATATGGAAGCTTTACTTTTTTCAACCCTGTTTTTAATCTTAGTTCTTAAATCTTTCTCTTGCATGATTCCATAACTTTATAAATTTGTTTAATTTGATTTTGGTGTAGCGGCAAGAGTGTCATCCCAGCAGGGTTCAAAACCCCACTCTGCCATCAAGCTCACTGGAAGCTCAACAAAATAAGAACATTTTGCTGCCTTGGGCCAGTCACAGCCTCATAGCCTAACCTACATCGGAGGGTTGGTGTTGGGACAAAATGGAGTGGGGGGGGACAGAAATGTGTGTGCCACTTTGAGCTCCTTGGAGAGGAGGTGGGATATAAATTTAATAAATAAATAAATTTGTTGTTCGTTACTGTAAAACATCTTCAAAGGGGCCAGAATGTGATTTAGAAGTGCTCAAATAAAACCATAATGGGTGTTTATAGAACAGTGTCTGAGGAGGGGAGAGAAATGGCTTGGCAGAGGATGGAGATAAGTCCTGCCTTCAGAATTGCCTGTCCCCTCCCCCCCTTTACCTCCCCCCCCCCCAGTTCCCACAGAATATAGTCTGCTACTCGCTGGGCGTTTTGCCAGTCCCAAAACGGCAATTAAGCAAAACTTCATCACAATGCATCTGGGTTACAGGCTGCCGGACCCAGGAAAGAATGGATTAGTTCCGTTTCTCTATAGGGAGCTAAGTCTTTTCAGACAATGTGTGCCTTGTATTCCGGATACCAAGGAGACCAGCTGCGCTCCGAAGGGCTTAACATGGCCGCAGAATGGGGAGAGAAGGGGGTTGCCGTTCCATAAAAGCAGCTAGAATGTTTGGGGCATCTATGTAGGGTTCTGTTTTGGGGGTTTTTTAAGCTGCATTATTAATGGTAATTCATTCCTGCCAAGCGAGCAGTGCAAATATTCTTCTTCTTTTTGAAATCATTTTTATTTGATTTTACAAATATTAATTAATTACAATACCAGTTACATACCCATAAAGTGAGGGTGAATCTCGAGACTGCCCCCCATACCTTCCATGGGTCCTATTGTCAACATTTCCAACTGCATCTTGTTTCATAGCCTATGTTTTATCTATCCAAATTGTCCGCAGCATTTGTTACATTACAAGTGAGATTAAAATCCTGCTAATGTTTTCATTTGCTTACAGTGGTCTCCTAAATAAATTACAGTCATACCTTGGGTTGAAGTAGCTTCGGGTTGAGCATTTTCGGGTTGCACTCCGCAGCGACCCGGAAGTAACAGAACGCGTTACTTTCTGGTTTCGCCACTCGCGCATGCGCAGACGCTCAAAATGGTGTCACGCGCATGCGCGGAAGCGGCGAATTGTGACCCGCAGGTGCACAGACATGGGTTGTGTTCGCTTCAGGATGCGAACGGGGCTCCGGAACGGATCCCATTCGCATCCAGAGAAGTAGCACTATATAAAATTTTCCCATCCTTTCTCTAATTTCTTGTCTTCTTGGTCTCTGAGTTTCCCGGTCAGTTTTGCCATTTCGGCGTAGTCTAATAGCTTAGTTTGCCATTCCTCTCTGGTAGGGGACTCTTTCTTCTTTCCATCTCTGGGCTAGTAGCATCCGTTCTGCTGTTGTCCCATAAGCAGTGCAAATATTCTAAACCAGACTCTCTCTTTTTTGGTAACTCCTCCTCTCTTGCCTGATTTCACAGAATCATAGAATTGTAGAGTTAGAAGGGACCACAAATCCAACCCATTGCAATGCAGGAATCCTTTTGTACAGGATCAGGTTTAAGGTGCTGGTTTTAACCTTTAAAGCCCTATACGGCCTAGGACCGTCGTACCTACGGGACCGCCTCTCCTGGTATGTCCCACAGAGGACCTTATGGTCTTCAAACAAAAACATCTTGGAGGTCCCGGGCCACAGGGAGGTTAGGCTGGCCTCAACCAGAGCCAGGGCTTTTTCGGCTGTGGCCCCAATATGGTGGAATGCTCTGTCACAGGAGACTAGGGCCCTGTGGGATTTGACATATTTCCGCAGGGCCTGCAAGACAGAGCTGTTCCACCAGGCCTTTGGCCAAGGCACAGTCTGACCCCCTCCTTTGGTAATCCTCATAGAACTCTAGCCCAATGGTTGCCATTAATTTGATTCTGAATTGATTTTAGAATGAATTGATTTTAGAATGTTGTATTATTTTACTGTTGTTAGCCGCTCTGAGCCCGGCTTCAGCTGGGGAGGGCGGGATATAAATAAATTATTATTATTATTATTATTATTATTATTATTATTATTATTATTATTATTTAACCCTGAGATGTAAGAATCTCACGCTCTACCGACTGAGCCATCCCAGGGTTCTGTTGCTAATACTGGGGATTCTACACACACAAAGGCACACACTTTTGTTTCAATTTGCTTTTGCTATTGCTTTTTAAAATTATTACGACCTGCCCCGGGACTTTGCGGTGAAGGGCAGGTAATAAATCAAGCTAATCATCCTCATCTTCCATGGGATTGATGTCTTTAATGTTAGCATCGTTGTGAACCCATCTACGTTGCTGAATTTGGCAGACAGTAAAAGGCAACTCTTTGTCCCTAGGTGGCACATGGGAGGCTTGAAATTCACCCTTGGTGCACAGAAATCCAGACAGACCTTTGTCCCAGCTGCCCGGTGGCAGGTCCCTGTTTGGAACTGGATGTACAGTGCTTGCTTTTGCCACTTCCCAGTCCAGCTCTGAAGCTGCTAAAACACCCTTTCCTCTGCCTCTCCCTAACATGGTGAGCCTCCTGCAGGTGTTTTAGCCTCCCAGCTCCCCAACAGCCTCAGCTAACATGACTGATGGTCAGGTGTTGGGAACTGGAGTCTGACAACATCTGCAGGGCAGCAGGTTGGGAAAGGCCCATGTATTTTAATTTTAATTTTATAAATGTTATACTGCCCTATACCTGTAGATCTCAGGGTGGTTCATGACACAAAATCACAATATAAAAAAGACGAAACACATAACAAAAACAAAGGCAACCACATAATCTCTCCTTCCTTCCACATTTTAATACAGTGGTACCTCGGGTTAAGTACTTAATTCGTTCTGGAGATCCGTTCTTAACCTGAAACTGTTCTTAACCTGAAGCACCACTTTAGTCTGTTCTCATCCTGAAGCAAAGTTCTTAACCCGAGGTAATATTTCTGGGTTAGTGGAGTCTGTAACCTGAAGCGTATGTAACCTGAAGCGTCTGTAACCCGAGGTACCACTGTACTACAGTCATACCTTGGTTGTCGAATGGAATCTGTACCGGAAGTCGGTTTGACTTCCGAAAACGTTTGACAACCAAGGCACAGCTCCTGATTGGCTTCAGGAGCTTCCTGCATGCAACCGGAAGCCGTGTTAGATGTTCAGGTTCCAAACAACGTTCGCAAACTCACTTCTGGGTTTGCGGCATTCGGGAGCCAAAACATTCGAGTCAAGTTGCAAGGCGTTCAGCTTCCGAGGTACGACTGTACATTAGATGTCAGTCCGTCAAAGGCCTGGTTAAAGATGTTTTTGTAATAAAAGACCTGCTCTAGCAGGAACATTAATGAGACCAGGGCTGGAGCTCACATCACCACTCAGCTGTGCAACAAACTGGGCCTGTCAGCATTTTGGGGCGCGATCAACTTTGCAGGATAAAAAGGGAGCAGGGAAGAGAGTGGTGTCTGCCGCCCTGAGCTCCTTAGGAGGAAAATTGGACCTGAATGTAATAAGTAACGATGTTCCTTCTTTCTTAGTTGATGAAGATGCTGCTGTCAACAGAATTGCGTAAGTTCCTTTCCTCATCGTTCCTGGTACTTAAAACTCCTGGCATCTTTTCTTTCCTCTCTCCCATCCTCCTCCTTTACCTCCCCACCCCCGCCATACATATTTTAAAAAAATGTTTTAAGTATAATGTGTAAGTAGTTGAACAAGAAGCCAACTATAAATGACAATTAAGGTTGCAAACCACACTTGCCTGGAAGTAAGTCCCGTTGAATTCAGCTGCGCTTACCATATTTTTTGCTCTATAAGACTCCCTTTTTCCCTCCTAAAAAGTAAGGGGAAATGTGTGTGTGTCTTATGGAGTGAATGCAGGCTGCGCAGCTATCCCAGAAGCCAGAACAGCAAGAGGGATTGCTGCTTTCGCTGCGCAGTGATCCCTCTTGCTGTTCTGGCTTCTGAGATTCAGAATATATTTTTTCTTGTTTTCCTCCTCCAAAAACTAGGTGCGTCTTGTGGTCTGGTGTGTCTTATAGACCGAAAAATACGGCACTTCGGAGGAAACATGCAAAGGACTGTACTGCTGCTTACTTGTTGAATTTGTCGGCTGAAAAACGGAACAGCATCCTTCAATTTCATGCATTTTGGGGGGATACTTTTAAGAAAGGGTGTACTGGAGGTGTTCTCAGCCAGATAAGACAATTACACATTTTTTGTGACCATTGTTAAAATGCAGGTTCTTTTTAGTTCTCTCGTATCTGTATGTGTATTATGGTCACCAGTTGATCTTTAATGTCTGAGATGGCAGTATCCAATTGATGGGTCGTGTCACCACCAGGATTCCTGCTTGCACAACAGAACTTCTCTCTTCCCAAACAGCCACTAAATCTCTTCCAGGGGGTCCCCCCCAACCCTCCAGATCAGATTGGGGAGGGTCAAGGGAGTTGGAAGGGGGATGCTTCACTGTACAAGTGGAAATTCTTCTGCTGACCGGATGCGTTAGATTCTGCCCTATGTCTCACCTACATTTAAGGAGATGATTCACAAGATATATTTCTATATGGGTAAAAAGGCACTTAACATGTCTCCTCTCTCTCTCTCTCTCTCTCTCTCTCTAATTTTTATTAAATTTTCTGTTTAACAATTTAGAATACTCATTTAAATAACTTTATAATAACAATGACTTTCCTTCTTCTCTTTCCATGGTTCATTTTGCATAACACAAATCCCTGCATATTTTACATAAACTAAACCATTCAGTATTCCATTATTACATCCATCAAAACTTCTTTACACTGTTGAATTCAGTTAACATGTCTCCTTAACTCATATACAGTCATCAACAGACTCCCAAAAGTAGTCAAGGAAAGCTGCAGCCATTCTGCGGTGATTAGACACCTTGGGCTGTATTTTATTTCGTTTTATGCATACATACATACCGTATTTTTCGCCCTATAGGACGCACTGGCCCATAGGATGCACCTAGATTTGGGGGGGGGGGAAATAAAGGAAAAAAATTATTTCCCCCCCCCAGGCGCGGGGCTGGGGCGGGGGAAGCCCGAGCTTCCCCCTCCCTCAGCCCCCAGAACGGGACCCAGAGCCATGCCGAAGCTGCGTGCAGCTTTGGCATCGCTCTGGGAGCTTGCGGGGCTGGGGGTGGAGACCCCAGCCCCCAGAACAGGCTGCCGCCCCAAGCCTCGCGCGCCCGGTGGGACCTCCCGCCGGGTGCGGGAGGCTTGCGGACACCTTCCTGAAGCACGGGGCGTCCTGCGGAGGGCGCCCCGTGCTCCGGGCTGCAGGCTGCTGCCCGCAAGTCGTGCGAGCCCGCGGGAACTCCCGTCGGGCTCGCAAGGCTTGCGGATAGCTTCCTGAAGCCTGGAGAGCGAGAGGGGTCGGTGCGCACCGATGCCTCTCGCTCTCCAGGCTTCAGCGAAAGCCTGCATTCGCCCCATAGGACGCACACACATTTCCCCTTCATTTTTGGAGGGGAAAAAGTGCGTCCTATAGGGCGAAAAATACGGTACATACATAGGCACTCTTGCAATAGCTGTTCCACAGTATGTATTTTTTTATATATATTGGGGCTTCTCTATCTGTGGAGCATCTTCGGCCTCTTGTCTTTGGCCTCTCTGCTGCTCACCTTCATTCCTGGTGTGGAAGAAATGTTATCAGCTTGAAAGGGGGCAGTGGGTGGGTGGAAAGCTGTCAGTCGTGAGACACAGGTTTTAATCCCCCTTTCTTTGCTCTGCTCCCCAGACTCTGGCTGTGCACCTTCACCTTGGCAGTATCTCTAGGAGCTGTGCTCCTGCTTCCCTTCTCCATCATCAGCAACGAAGTTCTGCTCACCTTCCCGCAAAACTACTACATCCAGTGGCTCAATGGGTCCCTCATCCACGGTGAGCTCCATGCTGTGGCTTGTACATTCGACCGCCTGGGTCTTCAGTGCGCTGCTCTATGGGAAGAGAGAGCGACTAGGGGAGTTAGAGGTTGTGAAGACTGTGGAGAGAATAGTTGGGTGCACTCTTCCCACCTTGGATCAAATCTACGCTTCCAGCTGCCATAAGAAAGCTGCAGAGATAGTGCAGGATAGTTCGCACCCCGGAAATGATCTCTTTCAGCTTCTGCCTTCTGGAAGAAGGTACAGGGTTATAAAGACTAGGACTAGCCACCTGAGAAACAGTTTATATTCCAAGGCAATTTCGGTTTTAAACGCAGTGTAAGATAATCTCTCTAAGGGACGCAGGTGGTGCTGTGGGTTAAACCACAGAGCCTAGGACATGCTGATCAGAAGGTCGTTGGTTCGAATCCCTGTGACGGGGTGAGCTCCCGTTGCTCAGTCCCTGCTCCTGCCAACCTAGCAGTTCAAAAGCACGTCAAAGGGCAAGTAGATAAATAGGTACCGCTCCAACGGGAAGGTAAACAGTGTTTCCGTGTGCTGCTTTGATTCGCCAGAAGCGGCTTGGTTATGCTGGCCACATGACCCGGAAACTGTACGCCGGCTCCCTCAGCCAATAGAGCAAGATGAGCGCTGCAACCCCAGAGTCAGTCACGACTGGACCTAATGGTCAGGGGTCCCTTTACCTTTAAGGCAGTCTCTATGGTAGTATATTGTATTTAATTATGGGGTATCAGAGTTTTTAGGGGGCTAACCAGGCTGGGATAGCTGGGATAGTAGGCTTGTTGGTTTCTGAATGTCTGATGAAGATTTTCAATTTCGTTGTTCTGTATGGGACAGTGACAGTAAATATTATCATATCATAGAGAGAGCAGTTGTGTGGCATTTCCTCTTCAGCAATAGCCTGGGATATTATTTGCTGAATACTTCCCATTACACTGAAAATGACTGTGGCTTCCAGGGCATTAATTGGATTTCTGAGTACCCCAGCCGTGAGACTCCCAGGTGGGGAGACTTTAGTTTAGCTCAGACAAGTCATAAGAAGCAAGCTACCTTTTCTTTATTTCCAGCAGGGTTTCCCAAATTTGGGTCTCCAGCTGTTTGTTGTGCTTTGCACTACAATTCCCATCATCCCTGACCAGTGGTCTTGCTAGCTATGGATGATGGGAGTTGTAGTCCAAAAAAAGCCACAGCCAGAGACCCAAGCTTGGGAAATGCCAATATACAGTTGTATCCCACCCTTCCAGCAGGGAAGTTGTCCCCCTCTCCATTTATATTCTCACAACAGCCCTGTAAGGTAGGTTAGGCTGAGGGTTGGGAGGGGGGCATCCACCACTGGTCAGATAAGAAGAAAGGAAAGCTTGAACTGTATATCCATAGAGATTTGCCGTTGCGTAAACCAGGCCTTTTCTCTCGTTCCCACCAGGGCTCTGGAACCTCGTCTTCCTCTTCTCCAACCTCTCCCTCGTCTTCCTCATGCCCTTTGCCTACTTCTTCACCGAATCCGAAGGTTTTGCGGGATCAAAGAAGGTAACAGCTGCCCCTCTGCTCTCCACCCTTCCTCCTCCCCCAGATTCAAAACAGAACCAGTGAATGTGGTGAAGGTCCTGTGTGAGTGTCTGAAGGCAGTTGGAGGATGGATGGCAGCTAAGAGATTGAGGTTGAATCCTGACAAGACAGAAGTACTGTTTTGGGGGGACAGGAGGTAGGCGTGTGTGGAGGACTCCCTGGTCCTGAATGGGGTAACTGTGCCCCTGAAGGACCAGGTGCGCAGTCTGGGAGTCATTTTGGACTCACAGCTGTCCATGGAGGCGCAGGTCAATTCTGTATCCAGGGCAGCTGTTTACCAGCTCCGTCTGGTACGCAGGCTGAGACCCTACCTGCCCTCAGACTGTCTCACCAGAGTGGTGCATGGTCTGGTTATCTCTCGCTTGAACTACTGCAATGCACTCTACATGGGGCTACCTTTGAAGGTGACCCGGAAACTACAACTAATCCAGAATGCAGCAGCTGGACTGGTGACTGGGAGTGGCCATTCAGACCACATAACACCGGTCTTGAAAGACCTACATTGGCTCCCAGTACGTTTCCGAGCACAATTCAAAGTGTTGATGCTGACCTTTAAAGCCCTAAACGGCCTCGGTCCAGTATACCTGAAGGAGCATCTCCACCCCCATCGTTCTGCCTGGACACTGAGGCCCAGCTCTTTGGGCCTTCTGGCAGTTCCCTCACTGTGAGAAGTGAGGTTACAGGGAACCAGGCCTTCTCGGTAGTGGCACCCGCCCTGTGGAACACCCTCCCAGCAGATGTCAAGGAAATAATCAACTCCCAGACTTTTAGAAGACATCTGAAGGCAGCCCTGTTTAGGGAAGCTTTTAATGTTTGATGCATTACTGTATTTTAATAATTATAATTATTATTTTATATATACTTATATATTATTATTATTTATTATTAAGCGATTGATCCTTTTTCTCTGCTGCCTCCCCTTTTTCCAGGGGATCATGGCTCGTGTCTATGAGACGTTTGTGGTCCTCCTGCTGCTGACCCTGTTGGTGCTGGGAATGGTCTGGGTCGCGTCTGCCATTCTGGACAACAACGCAGCCAGCAGGGAGAGTCTCTATGGTGAGTTTGTGTCCTTTAGCTCCCTTTCCGCTTTTCCCAGGGTTTGTGTCCAAAAGCAAGGAAGGGAGACTGGAACCCATCTGTGTGCAAGGCACAGTGAATATTGCTGGCTAGACATGCATTAGATTGAATTCTCAGCCACCTGGTCTGCATACTGCCAGCAGTAACTGGAAGCAGTATGGTCAGATATAGGGGGTTTTTTTGGGGGGGGAGGGAGCCCTTTTTGACCAGATGGGCCAGATCTTTCTCTTCCACCCCAGTGAATTTATTCATTTTTACTTTGTTATTGTATTTCACCAGATCTTAACCTATTACAATATTTGTTAAGAATGGATTCCAAATATCATTGAACTTGTCCATGGCAAGTCTGTGTTTCTATGCAAGTTGTTCATATGTTGCAAGTTTGTATAAGTTCAGTCCAATCATAGAAGGGAGCAGCATTTTTATTTTTCCAATTCACCAGGATCTGTCTTTTTGCTGTGGTAAGGGCTCGGAGATTCCACTCATCTTGTCCTTTTGTAAGGTTCCAGGTGCTGGGTATATAATTAAAGAGGATATTTTGCTCTGTCAATGTAAGGTTGTTCTGTACAGTTCTGGTGATGGTTTCAGTTACCTTCTGCCAAAAATCTTTCAATATTTGACAATGAAAAAAACATATGTTTTAGAAGAACATTGTCTTTATTGCAACTCTGATGGGTAGATACCTTAGATAGCCCTTTTGTAAAACAAAATTAATGGGGTCCAGTATATATTCACCCGGGACTTGCCGATCAGAAGGTCGGCAGTTCAAATCCCCGCGACGGGGTGAGCGTGACAAGCTGCATCTGGAGAGCCAGAGCCGCACACGGAAACGCTGTTTACCTTCCCGCTAGTAAGCGGTCCCTATTTATCTACTTGCATCCAGGTGTGCTTTCGAACTGCTAGGTTGGCAGGCGCTGGGACCGAACAACGGGAGCGCACCCCACCGTGGGGATTCGAACAGCCGACCTTTCGATCGGCAAGCCCTAGGCGCTGAGGCTTTTACCCACAGCGCCACCCGCGTCCCCTGGGCTGGGTATACATAATATTATATTATTATTACTATTATTTATTACTGCTCTGGTGAGCATCCTGGCCACTGAATTCTGCACCGGCTGAAGTTTCACCAGCTGTTAGGTGTTGGGCAGGTGGGGCAAATGGCCTTGTCTGCGAGCTGGAGGCTCCCCATTCCAGCACTGCCCCAGGTGGCCTGTTTTATTTGCCCGAACTGCACACTGACTGCCTTTCTTTCTGCAGACCTATGGGAATACTACCTCCCCTACCTCTACTCGTGCATCTCCCTGTTTGGTGTGCTGCTGCTCTTGTGTAAGTCGTTTGGTTTTTTTTAAACGCATCATTATTATTGCTACTATTGGGATGCTGCAGGGAGGAAGGAGAACTCAGTGCCAGGAGCGCAGATCCGATCCGGAATCTTAGAGAGGGGTCCTAAATGCCTGGGGTTGAATTGCCAGCTTCCTGTGGCAAGAGAAACTGATGGACTATGTGGAATTGGCGAAACTGACATATAAACTACGAGATAAGGACAACTGTGATTTTAAGAAAGAATGAGAACCCTTTACAAAGTATCTAAAGAAGCAACAAAATGAACTGGACTCCTTGGCAGGTTTTGAATAAACTTTCACAAACTTTTTATTGATAATAGCCAGTCAGATAAACTAAAAATCTATACAATTTTGTAAAATGCAAAGAATAGCATTTGTTGATAAACCAGAGAGAGGAGCTGAGGGAAGCCTGGTGGTGGTGGGGTTACTTCATGGGGAAGAGGGGGGAGGAAAAATAGGGGGGGGGAATTAAGGATGATATGTTTTTTGATAAAATGTTTTGTTGAAATTCCTAATAAAAAATATTTTCTTTAAAAAATTGCCAGCTCCACGGGGTCTTTTGGATAAACAATGTATTGTGAGCTTTGTTTGCATTTTAAAAAAGGGGGGGTGTATGTGATGTTTTGTAAGGAGAGGGAAGATACCTGCTCTACCACTGAGCTATCTTCGCTGCATGCAGAAGATCCCAGGTTTAATACCCAAAATCTCCAGGTAGGACTGGATGAGCACCTGCCTGAAACCCTAGAGCCGTCCCCTAGCCCTAGGGTTGCTACCTGTCCTATATAATACAGGATTGTCCCAAATTTCAGTGTAAAATTGCACATCTTGTATTGATACAGTTTTGTCCTGTATTTCAGTTCTTTCTTTCTTTCTTTTCATACTTTTCAAAATTATGTGTTTCATTAGCTTTACAATCAATTTAACATTTCAAAATTTGACTTCCTTCCCCTTCTTTCTGCGGTTCCTTGAATTTATTTTTTAATGCCTTCTGCATATCCAAGTTCATTTAACCTCATTTAATTATCTACTCTAAATATATACTGCAGGTTATTACAATAACCCTGCTAATGTTTTTATCTGTTTACAATTTATTTGTATATAGCCAATAAGCCATTTCCATTCTTTTATTTATAAAAAGTTTGTTATCTCGATTTCGTATTCTTCCGGTAAGTTTCGCCATTTCTGCATATTCCATAAGTTTTTGTATCCATTCTTCCTTTACTTGGACTCCTGCTTCTTTCCGCTTTTGGGAAATAACATTCTTGCTGATGTTGTAGCATACATAAATAAATTTCTATACAATTTAGGTAGTTCTGTCCTTACAATTCCCAATATAAAAGCTACTGGGGTTTTTTAAATAAAAGTTATTTTGAACATCCTTTTCAATTCATTATATATCCTCTCTCTCTCTCTCTCTCTCTCTCTCTCTCTCTCTGCCAAGTTAGCCCCCCCCCCCCCGCAAATGTATATGTTTGAAAAAGGGTGTGTAAAAGGTCATATATTTAAGCTCTGGGTAGTCAAGCACAGACACGTCTACAAATTCATGTGTGTGTGACAAATTCCAGAGGGGGCATCTTGTAGATTGTAACGGATTGCTTTGAAGTCATTTCAGCACCAGATTTTTTTGGGGGGGGGGATCACCCCCTAACTGCCCCGGCCCACCCTGTCCTGTATTTTGTCAGAACATAGGTGGCAATTCTTGACCCAGGCTACCTTTTTTTTTGGGTATGTGTATCTCTCTGCGTATGAAACAGAGGGATAGAAATGCTTGCCGAATAGCTTTGTGGCGGAAGTAGGAAGTGACTATTTTCCCTTGAGCAAAATTCTTGCTCTCTGGCTTTGGGTGTTGTCCTGATCGGGGAAAAACAGTGCTGCTTTTTTTTTTAAAGAAAAAATGTTGATTACTCACCATGAAGTTGTTACAGTCAGTGCCGCACTTTTAACATTCGGGGCACTGAGTACCCTTGAGTACCTGCAGCAGCAACAACAACAAAGCACTGGGAGAATCTATATTACAAAGAGGGTCTTATAATCTCCCTTTCTGCCGGAGGGTGTGCCTTGAGCTCAGAGAGTGTTTTTGAAGCTTCCTGGAGCTCGTTCTTCGTTGGATCCAAACAAAACAAAACAAAGAACCTAATAAATGTTAAACAGGGATGACGGCATCTCTGCAAAGAGCCCCAAACCAGAGATTTTGTTGCACTGCGGAATGAGGACACTTTTAAGTACAGGTTTTTTGAGGCCAGCTGGATCCCCAGAGTTGCAAGAGTTTCCAAGAGATTTTCTGTGTGTGTCTTGACTCTGTGGAGGCCTGTTCCCCCCCTCTTTGAGCCTTGCCGGTTCTTGAGCTTGGAGAATGGTGCCACCTCCTGGCGGAAGGGGCCGGGATGGAATTACATGCTGGTGCTGCTGTTTACAACTCTTTTTCTTCTTTCTTTCTCTCCCTCCACAGTGTGCACCCCCTTTGGCCTCTCACGGATGTTCACCGTCACAGGGACACTGCTGGTGAAGCCCAGGGTAAGAGCAAGAGAGGCTTTTTGGACTTGCCAGGCCTAGTAGAAGGGATGCGGGTGGCCCTGTGGTCTAAACCGATGAGCCTCCTAGGCTTGCCGGTCAGAAGGTCAGCGGTTCGAATCCCCACGAGGGGTGAGATCCCATTGCTCTGTCCCAGCTTCTGCCAACCTAGCAGTTCAAAAGCACGCCAGTGCAAGTAGATAAATAGGTACCGCTCCGGCGGGAAGGTAAATGACGTTTCTGTGCGCTCTGGTTTCCATCACGGTCTTCTGTTGCACCAGAAGCGGTTTAGTCATGATAGCCACATGACCCGGAAAGCTGTCTGTGGACAAACACCGGCTCCCTCAACCTGAAAGCGAGATGGACGCTGCAACCCCATAGTCGCCTTTGACTGGACTTAACCATCCAGGGTTCCTTTACCTTTTACCTTTACCTTTTAGTACAACAGAGAAGAGGGGAATGATCAACAAAGCAACCTGGTTGTTGTCAGCAAATGTATTTAGTTGGGAGTGGGAAACAGAATGAGCAGCAGCAGGATAGACGACACTGTTTAGATCAGGGATTGGGGAGTCTTGGGTCCAGAGTCTGAAAGCCTGCTCTCCAGGCCCTCCCTCTGAGTCTTAGGGAGCTCTTTGCAGGCCATGCCCCTCACAGACCCTGCCCTGCCCCCTCCTCAGGTGCTTTTACCTGCCTAGAACGTGTCCTTAATACCTCTGCCTAGCCTGGGTGGCAGGTGTGTATGTGTGTGCCTCAGCCCAGTATACCTGAAGGAGCGTCTCCACCCCCATCGCTCACTGAGGTCTGTCTCCGAGGGCCTTCTGGTGGTTCCCTCACTGTGAGAAGTGAGGTTACAGGGAACCAGGCAGAGGGCCTTCTCGGTAGTGGCGCACTTGCCCTGTGGAACGCCCTCCCTTCGGATGTCAAGGAAATAAGCAACTACCTGACTTTTAGAAGACATCTGAAGGCAGCCCTGTTTAGGGAAGTTTTTAATGTTTGATGTTTTATTGTGTTTTTAGTATTCTGTTGGGAGCCGCCCAGAGTGGCTGGAGAAACCCAGCCAGATGGGTGGGGTATAAATAAAAACTATTAAATTATTATTGTGTGTGTGAGTGTGTGTGTGTGTAAATCAGACTTTTTGCATGACTAGGACAATGCAAAACCAGCTCTGTAAATAGTAAGAGGCCCATGTCTTTCATCCAGCGGGTGTGGTTGTCAGTGCTCTTGATTCCCTCGTTTCTCTCACATACGTTTTCCTCTTTTTCTGTAGCTGCTGGAGGATTTAGACGAGCAACTGAACTGTACAGGATTTGAGGAAGCTGCCATTTCGCGTAAGATCCACTCTGGTAAGTGCCTAGCCGAGATGGTACAAAACTGGCCGGAAATGGCTGATTTGGCACCTGATTTGGTTAATGCCCTGAAAGTAAGGCTGCTAGATGTGGGTATGGTGGCTGATAGAGGTGGTTCTTTCTCTGAGTATTGGTGTAGATATTATCTAAATATATATACATATTTAATTGTCTTTGCATTGCACAGGGAAAACTTCCTGCTGGCTCAACTTTGATATGGAAGTGCTGAGGCAACAATACCTAGCGATTCACGCGCACAGGATAACGCTGGGTAAGAGCAAAGCAAGGCAAAGGCAGGAGCTCTGTATCTTAAATATGCCCCATGTATCTAATTTATCACTGGACAGTTGTGGGATATGGGCTCAAGCATGCTTAGATTGTTGTCCACATTATTAAACTTACCACCATGATTCCTATCATCCAGTCTCTAGTTTGCAGTTTAAAAAAACAAATCCAGTTTTGCACCAAGAAAGAATGAAGTGGTGGTTGGATTGATTATGCATATCAAGCAAATCCACATCAGCATACCTTTAAAGCTACCCATCCCAGCCCTAATAGGGACACGGCTGGCGCTGTGGGTTAAACCACAGAGCCTAGGGCTTGCCGATCAGAAGGTTGGCGGTTCGAATCCCCATGACTAGGTGAGCTCCCATTGCTTGGTCCCTGCTCCTGCCAACCTAGCAGTTCGAGAGCACGTCAAAGTGCAAGTAGATCAATAGGTACCACTGCAGCGGGAAGGTAAACGGCGTTTCTGTGTGCTGCTCTGGTTCGCCAGAAGTGGCTTAGTCATGCTGGCCACATGACCTGGAAGCTGTACGCCTGCTCCCTCGGCCAATAAAGCGAGATGAGCGCCACAACCCCAGAGTCGTCCGCGACTGGACCTAATGGTCAGGGGTCCCTTTACCTTTACCTTTATCCCAGCCCTAGGATGTTCTGCATTTAATTACCTGTATGATGCAGGTCAGAGAATTTGGCTGGGGCAATGTCTAGCTATCAACTCCCTATTTTGTGTTTTGTTTTCGCAGAAACACGCCGCAAAGCCTCTGCTTGGCAAAGGAACTTGGGATACCCACTGGCCATGCTTTCTTTGCTATCTCTAACGGTAAATGTTGGGTCTGAAATTGGGGTTGGCAAGTCTGGTGTTTTGTTTTTTTAAAAAAGCCTTTAAATGGCAGCATCGTAGCCGATCGCCATCTCTTCAGTCAGAAAAAATGAATGTCAGAAAACAGCAGCCTTCGCTTTGCGATCTCTGTTTGCTGCCAAGCAGCACTTTGAGCGTTGCAGAGGATTCTGGGAACGCATTCAACAACAGTCTGCCATTTTGGACTGGCCTGAAGGGCCAAGCCAACAAAATGGCGATTGCCTGACGCAGCTTGATTGGTGCTGCAGCCCAAACAGTGGCTGGGCAAAGGCCCCCACCTGCTCTGCACCTCTCCAGGGAAGGAAATTGTGTCCCACCAGGCGGTCCTGTGCCGCCAAGGTGCTCTGATCGCCCCAGGTCCATGGTAGCCAGGCCCCTGCAGAGGTTACATTTGCCCTGGGCCTCGGAGGGCTAAACTTGCCAGGGGGCGCTGCTACGGGCCTGTCGGACTTTCACTGTTTCAGTTTATAACTTTATTCTAACAAGACTCCCAGCCCCCGGCCTCAGTCAGGCTCCGCACAGGCCTGTCCAGGCCCACTCCCAGTCTTCTCCCCTCTCTTCTTGGAGAGTTTAGCTGGGGTGGGAATTTCTGTGCCATCCCACTTGGTCTCTGAGGCTGGGAAGAAGGCCCGTAGCTCAACAGGCCGTGGTGGCTCCCTCATCTCTGTTAGCGAAAGGGCCGAACCCGTTCCCTAACGGCTTGGCAATGGGTGGAGTGGAGTCTGTGTCTGTGAGCTATAGGGAGCCAAGCTTTTCGTTTACTGATTCTGCAGGCGACTACATGAATGTCCCAGAAAGGATACTGTCCTTTCCCTGTACTTTTGATGGCTTCCTTGTATTTATAGGAAGCTCCTTGCTTAGACAATATGTGTTAAAAGATGCCTGGACCAGGGCATTTCTGTATGTTGTGCTTTCCTTTTTTAAAGGCCCAAACCAGGGCTGCCTACCAGTTCTGAAGGCTAGGCTCTGGCTTCCCTCTTGGAGGCAGTCTGCCTCTGAATACCTACTGCTGGAAGCTGCAGGAGAGAAGAGTGCTGCTGCGCTCAGATCCTACTTGCAGGCTCCCTCTATGTATTTGGTTGGCCACTTTGAGAGTAGAATGCTGGACTAGTTGGGCCACTGCTCCATCAGGCTCTTAGGTTCATATGCTGTTGACATATTGATAGGGAGGCAGGTGGTGCTGTGGTCTAAACCACTGAGCCTCTTGGGCTTGCCGATCGGAAGGTCGGTAGTTCGAATCCCCACAACGGGGTGAGCTCACGTTGCTCTGCCCCAGCTCCTGCCAACCTAGCATTTTGAAAGCACACCAGTCCAAGTAGATAAATAGGTACCACTGCGGCAGGAAAGTAAAATGTGTTCCGTTGCATCATTGTGTTCTGTTGCACCAGAAGCGGTTTAGTCATGCTGGCCACATGACCCAGGAAGCTGTCTGTGGACAAACACCAGTTCCCTGAAAGCGAGATTAGTGCCACAACCCCATACAGTGGTACCTCGGGTTAAGAACTTACGGTAATTTGTTCCGGAGGTCCGTTCTTAACCTAAAACTGTTCTTAACCTGAAGGCCACTTTAGCTAATGGGGCCTCCTGTTGCCGCCATGCCGCCTCTGCGTGATTTGTGTTCTCATCCTGAAGTAAAGTTCTTAACCCGAGGTACTATTTCTGGGTTAGCGGAGTCTGTAACCTGAAGCGTCTGTAACCTGAAGCGTCTGTAACCTGAAGTGTCTGTAACCTGAAGTGTCTGTAACCCGAGGTACCACTGTAGTTGACTTTGGCTGGACTTAACCATCCAGGGGTCCTTTACCTTTACCTTATATTTATATCTTCCCCCTTCCTGCTACCTTTTCCAGGGCATCTCTGTTCTGGTTGTCTGTTTTCATGTCTTGGAGCTGCTCTTGGATGATGCGGCCATGCCTCGAGGGATCCAGGTGAGAGAAATGACTCCTTTGCCAGAGTCTCCTAAGCCATCATTTGTACTGGAGTGTTCTCCAGCCGCTCTCTCTTCATGGCTCAGGCTTCTTGTCTCACCCTGTTGAGTTGCTTAATTTCTCTAAGCTACTATTTTACTTGCAAGACATAGATTAAATTCAAAGGTTCAAGAAGCTTAGCCATTGCAATGCCTACCTTGCATGCGTCTAGACCAGTGTTCGAAACTCCCATTGTTCCAGGCGCATTTTGCAACAGGGAATTTCATTAGCGCAAGCAGTTTCTGAGCTCTGGGCACAGTACTGCGCCTGCGATTTCAGATTAAAACTGCAGAGTGGAAGGAAAGGAGGACCTTTTTCTGCCTCCCCACTTCCAGCTACTCTCCAAAGACTGGAGAAGGGACCCTCTTAAGGATATTAGGGGGGTGGGCAGGGGAAGGACTGGACCATGTGAAAAATGAACATAAGATTTTAGCTGCAGTTCATTCATTTTCAGCTTTGTATTCTTGTTATAAAAAAACACACCCAGACATTCCTTTGTTGCACCCATAACCTCAGTTTAAGGTGCCATTTAGCTCCTAGTTTTCGTATCTCACTTTCTAACACTGGTCTAGACTGATGGGTACTCTGGGTCTAACTTGCAGAAAGCATATTGTTATATTCAGCTCCTCCCTCCCCGAAGGAACCTAATCACACATTTCTCCTTTTGTCTCTCCCTTTCCAGGATGCACCATTGGGAAAAGTTTCTTTCTCTGTCTTTGGCTCTTTTGGGGCAGCCATGCAAGTGATCCTCATATTGTATCCTTTGCAGTTTGTCCGTTTTGGAATTTCCCTCCCGCACCGTTACTTAGCGATACGAAGATTGCCAGGCAGGTTTCACGGTCAAAAAAGTTGCTTCTCCATTGCTGATTTCTCTTAACCTCCTCCTTGTCAACCAAAACGTGTGACTCTCTCCTAAGGTTAATCTGCCCTGTCCTGTCCTACTTCTTCATCAAGCAGCACTGCTGTGATCGTCAGACTCTGGCAGGGCAAGACCTTCCTTGCCCTGAAGACTCATTTCCTGAGCATCATACAGTGGTACCTCGGGTTAAGTACTTAATGTATTTTTTGCTCTATAAGACGCACCAGACCACAAGACGCACCTAGTTTTTGGAGGAGGAAAACAAGGAAAAAATATTCTGAATCTCAGAAGCCGGAATAGCAAGAGGGATCACTGCGCAGTGAAAGCAGCGATCCCTCTTGCTGTTCTGGCTTCTGGGATAGCCGCGCAGCCTGCATTCGCTCCATAAGACTCACACACAGTTTCCCTTACTTTTTAGGAGGGAAAAAGTGAGTCTTATAGAGCGAAAAATACGGTAATTCGTTCTGGAGGTCTGTTCTTAACCTGAAACTGTTCTTAACCTGAAGCACCACTTTAGCTAATGGGGCCTCCTGCTGCTGCTGCGCCGCCGGAGCACGATTTCTGTTCTCATCCTGAAGCAAAGTTCTTAACCCGAGGTACTATTTCTGGGTTAGTGGAATCTGTAACCTGAAGTGTATGTAACCTGAGGTACCACTGTAGTAACATATCTGTTCTGAGCCTTCCGTGGAAAGGGGGGAAGCAAAAGGTTTGTTTTAAAGAAGTTTCTCTGTGCATGATTTGTGTGTGCGCACGCACATGCTTCTCTTCGGAAGTCCTGCTTCCCAGCCTGTCCTAGGTGATGACAATTTTTCCATCGTTCTTCCTTAACCCTCTGCTGTATTAGCTACCTAATGATTTCCTCCGTGGTGGGATTCTACAGCTCCCCACTGTTTACCAAACTGCTGCCTGAGCAACATGACACAGCCATGACCAAGGTACTGTATATATCTGGCTGCTGTTTTGTTTTGTTTTGTTTAAATTGACACCACTGTCGCTGGTGACATCCCTGGCCAACCCATTGCCTGAGCCACTTGGTTGGAGAAAGGCAGAAAGACAAAAACTGTTATATCTCAAGTGCTGAGAGAGGGAGGGTCATTTACAGCATGGGTAGGCAAATTAAGGCCCAGGGGCCGGATCCAGCCCAATCGCCTTCTAAATCTGGCCTGCAGGCAGTCCAGGAATCAGCGTGTTTTTACATGAGTAGAATGTGTGCTTTTCTTTAAAATGCATCTTTGGGTTATTTGTGGGGCATAGGAATTCGTTCATTATTTTTTTTCAAAATATACTCCGGCCCCCAACAAGGTCTGAGGGACAGTGGACCCGCCCCCTGCTGAAAAAGTTTGCTGAACCCTGATTTATAGCATGTTAATGGGAGCTCCTGATCTGAAAGCACGAGTGGGGCCAGGAAAACTCAAAGAAATTGGGGTCAGAGCGGCTGCTAGCGAGTAGGACTTGGTGGTTTTTTTAAATGGTTCGTTCTCTGCCTTTATTTTTATTTTTATTTTATTTTTTGGAAAAATAATAATCATAAATAAATAAGAATAAAAATGTGCACCCCACAACCGAGACCTTTCCATTGTAACTACCCAACCTCCCAAAATTTCAACACCTCTTGCGAACGTTTGACCCCTTTCCATTTTAACAGTACTAATTCTACAAACACCCTCAAAATCATATTCCCTGCATATTCCCCGTCTTACCTTAATGGCACATGTTAATTTATGGTTAATAGCTATATCCCACACCTCTTTATACCGTTCTTCCATTTTATATTCAGCTTGCCCCTTCCACTTCCTAGCTATCATAATTCGTGCAGCTGTCAATAAATTTGTGAGCAAGTCCTTCATAGCCTGTGAACCTCCCACCCCGTTGTAAATTGATAATAATGCTACCTCTGGACTTTTGGGCAGCTTTCACCCAGTGATTTCTGCTGTCTGCTTAAACACCCTTTGCCAGGAAAATGGTACATATTTACACCCCCACCACATGTGAACGTAATTCCCTGTTTCCTGGCATCCCCTCCAGCATAACACCACATATTCCTTGTTTATTTGATTTAATCTGACTGCGAGTAGGACTTGCGAACTGCAGAGAGGCAGTAGGGGGGCTGAGTGAGTTACAACTCACACCTGTAAGAGCTGAGGCACAGAGCCTCCTCTTTGAGGGGTGGGGAATAATTGTGGCTATGACGCTACTTCCTTGCTAGTCTGCAGTCAAAAGTCATATGGGTTTCTAGTGTCACTGGAATGGATGCTGGGAGCTCAGGATTGTCTACTCTGATTGGCAGACGGCTCTCCAGGGTTCCAGGAGATGCCATGATTTGAACCTGGGAACTTCTCTCTGCGTGTTCTGTCTCTGAGCTATGTTTATTCCAAGCTGCTTTTCCTTGCAGATAATCGGGAACTGTGTCTCGTTGTTGGTGTTGAGCTCTGCCCTCCCAGTTTTGTCTCGGACTTTGGGTGAGTTTTGCCTACTTCACTCTGTCCTCCTCATGTTCTTCAGAGTGCATCAGTAAAATTCAGCCTCACTGTTGAAAAACTCCCATGTAGGCAGGGCTGTGTGTTTTCAAAACAAATACACCCAGCTCAAGCAAACCCCCCCTCTTTTTTGAGTTTGATAGTAATATGGGCTACACATACAGTGGTACCTTGGTTCTCAAACTTAATCCATTCCGGAAGTCCGTTCCAAAACCAAAGCGTTCCAAAACCAAGGCGCGCTTTCCCATACAAAGTAATGCAAAATGAATTAATCCGTTGCAGACTTTTAAAAACAACCCCTAAAACAGCAATTTAACATGAATTTTACGATTTAACGAGACCATTGTTCCATAAAATGAAAGCGATAAACCATGTACTACAGTCACACAGTCAATCAACCAATCAGTAGCTGAAATGAGTTCCACGCAGTCACAAAAAGGAAATGAAAAAGCCGCAAAAAACAAAGAACACAAAATAAATAGCAAAAACAGGCAGACCTCAGCGTAACACTCAAAATGGAAGTGTGGCACTCAAATCGGAAGCGGAACACTTACTTCTGGGTTTGCAGTGTTTGGGTTCCAAGGCGTTTGAGAACCAGGGTTCCACTGTATTTGTGTATTCATTTACTTTATTTGCATTATTTTGCTTCCACTGATCCTCTGGGTCGAGGCAAAAAGTATTAGGGTGTCAAAGGCCTGTCCCCTGCAAAGTTTATGTAGCTTCAAAGAGGGTAGTGTACTGCCCCTCATGTTTATTTGCAGAATCATTATTGACTAGAACAGTGTTTCCTTTTGGACCCAGAAGAGGGCAGAATAGGGCCCGCTTATACTCAATCTACTGACGTGTGCAAGGGCCAGGAATGGAAACCCCGTGCAAAATGGTCGCCCTCTGTATAATGTTCAGAAAACTCTTGCAAGGAGCATAAACCAGTAGATAGTGCAATGAATCACAGATCTTTAAAATATTGCAGATGACCTTGAAGACTCAAGTGTGTGCGGCATGGCCAGCATTTTTATTATTATTATTATTATTATTTCTTTCTCTCCATCTCAGGAATCACGAGGTTTGACCTGCTTGGTGACTTTGGGAGGTTTAACTGGCTAGGAAACTTCTACATTGTCTTTCTCTACAACATGCTCTTTGCTGGCCTCACGACTCTTTGCCTGGTGAAAAAATTCACCTGGGCTGTGCAAGCTGAACTCATCAGGGCATTTGGTAAGTGCTGGTGTTCCCGCCCCCCTCAAGCTCTCCTCTGTCTATTTGTTACAGCGATATTGGGAAAGAGAACTGTTAAGTAGTCTGATCAGCAACAATGGGACCACCATAAGAACATAAGATGTGGTCCCATTAGGGCTGCGGCTTCCTTCTGTGGAGGTTGACTGTGACCTAGTTTACATGTCATGCTAAGCTAAACCATGGCTTGGTGCAAACGCATGGGCTTGAGAAGAGCCACTTGCTCTTCTCCAGTCATACTGCTTTGCTGTGCTTTGGCTTGGCTTAGCACATCATCTGAACCCGGCTTGGTAAGTTCAGCTCTCTCCAAGCTAACCATGTGCTGGAACCAAGGTTTTCCCCTGTGGTTTATCTGGGGCAGCTAAACTACCAGCCTTGGTTTGGACAAGATGCTAGGCCGTAATTTGGCTTACCTGATTTACCAACCAGGCCGAAGTGTGGTGGGCCCTGGGGGTTTCTTGGAGCATTCTGAATCTACCTAGGGTTGTTGGTTCACAGCCCGGAAAACTTTTCTGTGTATGGAACAACCGTTCTGCATGTGAGGAAACCCCCACCTCACCCCACCCCAGTTCATTTCCTGTCTGGGCTGGCTCGCTGTGCGTGTTCATTTTATTTACTATTCTTATCAGCCCCTTTCCAGCCACACGCTCGGAAAGGCTTGCAACAAATACAGTGGTACCTTAGAGAGCCAGTGTGGTGTACTGGCTAAGAGTGGTGGACTTGTAATCTGGTGAACCGGGTTCGCTTCCCTGCTCCTCCACATGCAGCTGCTGGGTGACCTTGGGCCAGTCACACTTCTCTGAAGTCTCTCAGCCCCACTTACCTCACAGGGTGTTTGTTGTGGGGGAGGAAGGGAAAGGAGAATGTTAGCCGCTTTGAGACTCCTGAAGGGGGAGTGAAAGGCGGGATATCAAATCCAAACTCTTCTTGGTTCTCCGACTTAATCCGTTCCGGAGGTCCGTTTCAAAACCAAGGCGTGCTTTCCCATGGAAAGTAATGCAAAACATTCTTTTTGTTTTCTGTTATGTGAATGATGTCATGATGATAAAAATATGTAAAATTCCATAAAAAATATTTTTTTTAAAAGGAAAGTAATGCAAAACAGATTAATCCGTTCCAGACTTTTAAAAACAACCCCTAAAACAGCAATTTGACATGAATTTTGCTATCTAACGAGACCATGGATCCATAAAATGAAAGCAATAATCAATGTACTGTACTATAAAATAAAGAAGACAGTATTGTAGATGATAAAAAAATAAATTCTTACCTGCACTGACGATAGTCATTGTTTGGATGGGGGGCTTTTATCCATTTCTGCAGTCACACAATCAATCAGTCAGTAGCTGAACTGGGTTCCACACAGTCACAAAAACAAATGAACTGAAAAAGCCTCCAAAACAAAAATGCAGAATAAATAGCAAAAAGCGCCAAACTTAATCCGTTCCGGAAGTCCATTTGACTTCCGTAATGTTCAAAAGCCAAGGCACAGCTTCTGATTGGTGCAGGAGCACCGGAAACAATAGCTGACCGCCACATTGGATGTTCAGCTTCCGAAAAACGTTCAAAAACTGGAACACTTAACTTCCGGGTTTTTGGGAACCAAGGCGTTTGAAAACCAAAGTACCACTGTAATAAAATTGCAACGATGGAACAACTTGTTCAGTTGGTCTTCTTCCTGCCTGGGTATCGGGATGAGAGACTGCAGGCTTTGGCCTTTAATCCACAATCTCCTCCTTTCTCTCCAGGCCTCCACAAACTGCCTCTACCTGTGACTCGATCCCACCAGCCATGCAAGCTCAGCTAGGATCAGTGTTGGTGCCTGAACCAAGCCTGGCAAGTGAGCCACAGCCGGGACATCCTTACCTTGACGTCGTGATTGTTGCTTGTCTTCTGAGCCATCGGACTGCAGCAGACGAGGGTGGGGCAGACAGCTGCCTTTGCCCTGCCTTCATTTTGACCAATGACTTGTTGGAAAGGAGGGAAGGTGGCGTTTTCAGCCTCGCCTCCCCGTTTCCCAGAAGCCCAAGGAGGGCGATAGACTCGAACCACTCTTGAGACCTCGCTGTCTGCTCTGAGGTCCCCGTTCCTATCAGCTGAGGGAACATCTCAGTAGTTCACACTGTGACTTCGGAACTGGGGCGGTGTGAATAGGTTGTGGAGAAAGAGGCCTTGGACTGTCTTAGAGAGAGATTGATGTAGAATTGGCCCCGGGGCATTGTTAGGGAGCAACATGGGAGAGACAGGCTGCGGGGGGAAAGTCCCTTGCCCCCGCAGGGGTGCTGCAGATTCCTGCTCTAGCTCCCTCTCTTCCTTGTTTACATTTGACATTGTCTTAAACCTCATGCCCATGTTGGCCTCTCACTAGACCGTAGGGCCGAAAACCTTTCCAGTTAGGAATTCTGAGCCAGTTCTGTGTAGTAGATCGAACTCCGTTCCATTGTTTACATACCTCACTCAAGTGCAATATAAGCTGGCGCTATTGAGCCATTTATCCATGGCTTTCTGTTCAGCAGCCATCTCTGTGAGAGACTATTTTATGTGTGTGTGTGTTTGCGTGCGCTTTGTGTTCTTTAAAATTTGCCCCGCAACATGTAAGCATCCCTTGTCCGTAACGCTGGGTGTCGACTCAAAGTAATGGTGGACACATCTAATCAGTTTCCGCTCCGTTTCCCCCCAAAATGGAAACTGTGTAAGGGGAAGCAGGCCACAGAGTGCCCTTGCCCAGCAAGAAGGAAGAACTTGCCACAATGGCCACCCTTCCAACTCTTAGACCGTTGAGAGGCGGTTGCAGAGTTTGACATTTTCTGAAATTAAGAACAGACCTCAAGAACACGGATGCAGCTCTTTTCTTGCCCTGTGACCCCCATGCCTTGCTTCATGCAATCAAATCCCCTTCAAGGGCAAACTGCACGGGCTGTATAACTTGCTTTGCTCTCCACACTCTATCAGTGTTTCCCAAACTTGGGTCTCCAGTTGTTTTTTTGGACTACGGCTCCCATCATCCCTAGCTAGCAGGGCCAGTGGTCAAGGATTATGGGAACTGTAGTCTGAAACAGCTGGAGACCCAAGTTTGGGAAACGCTGCTTTAGATCAGGGGGAGCCATTGTGGTGTCGTTCAGGTGCCGCTCAACTATGTCCCTGGCAGGGGCTGATGGGAGTTGGAGTTCAAGAACAGCTGGAGAACAGACACCACATCGACTACTTCTGCTCTAGATACTCCCAGCTTGTAGGAAGATCTCCTGTTATTTGGGTTGGAAGGTGAATCTGTTCAATATGGAGGTATATTTTTCAAAATCTGGGGAATGGCAAAGGCATGTTAGAACACGGGTAATGTGGAAGAATGGTGCAATGGGAAACAGCCCTCTGCCCCCTCTACTATGAGTGCATCATTTGGGCATCTCTTAGTGTTTGGATGCCAGGCTGTGATCTCCAGTTTGTCAGGACTCTGTACCCAGTGCTGGATAGGAATTATATGAGAAAGCTGAATCCCTTATTTTAATTCTCTATTAATGTGAAAGCTCTGTCTATAACCCAGTTTGAGCCTAAATGGCAGGAAGCAGGGAGGTATCAAATTTACCAGCCCAGATGTGAGCGGCCATTTTACAGTTGTGTCTTTTGAGTTTTATGGTAGGAGTTGCTGTGTGTGTGTGTGTGTGTGTGTGTGTGTGTGTGTGTGTCTTTTCCCCCCCTGTCTTTGTGGCACCATTGTTTTGCAGTGTGTATCTATGTGTGCTGGGCAAGACCACAACTGCCTATGCCCCATGTTTGCAGAAAATGTAGAAGTTTGCTTCAAGGCTCGTGGGTGCCCCTTGCGGTCAGTTTTGAAGAACGACAGACTGCTGCGCTCTTGTTATTGTGGCAACCATAATCTCCATAAATTTCACAGCCGGAGCTGAACGTCATAGGAGGCCGCACACAAAAGTCCTGCATCCTTACCACAGATCAGACTTCGATTGGGAGGGGAAGGGTTGTGTGAGAATGACTTATTTTGTTGCAGGAACATATTGTGGCATTGCAGGCCCCGCTTCAGAGGGGCCCAACCGAAATGGAGACTTGTGACCCCGGCCTGCCTTTGTTGCTTCATGTAGTGACTGTCTGATCTCAGTACTATACTGTCCATGGGGCTCGTATCCATGTAAGCAATAAATTGCCTAGTTCTCTTTTATCTCCCCTCTTCTCTCTGGATCCTTATTTTGTGTTGTGGGAGGCTCTGAAAAAAAGGGTGGTTTCTGTCCTGACACGGTAGAGAGAAAACTTTCCAGCTAGCTGTGTCTCCTGTTTATGTTACTCAATGAATGTTTCATAGAGAGAGCCTCAGATTACCTTTCTCAGCCTCTGTAATCCTGTTCATTTGAATATTGGGTCATCATGGCCACTGGTCCCATCACCTCCTGGCAAATAGAAGGGGAAGAAATGGAGGCAGTGAGAGATTTTACTTTCTTGGGCTCCATGATCACTGCAGATGGTGACAGCAGCCATGAAATTAAAAGACGCCTGCTTCTTGGGAGAAGGGCAATGACAGACCTAGACAGCATCTTGAGAAGTAGAGACGTCACCTTGCCAACAATGGTCCGTATAGTTAAAGCCATGGTTTTCCCAGAAGTGATGTATGGAAGTGAGAGCTGGACCATAAAGAAGGCTGATCGCCGTAGAATTGATGCTTTTGAATTATGGTGCTGGAGGAGACTCTTGAGAGTCCCATGGACTGCAAGAAGATCAAACCTATCCATTCTTAAGGAAATCAGCCCTAAGTGCTCACTGGAAGGACAGATCCTGAAGCTAAGACTCCAATACTTTGGCTACCTCATGAGAAGAGAAGACTCCCTGGAAAAGACCCTAATGTTGGGAAAGATGGAGGGCACAAGGAGAAGGGGGCGACAGAGGACGAGATGGTTGGATAGTGTTCTCGAAGCTACCAGCATGAGTTTGACCAAACTGCGGGAGGTAGTGGAGGACAGAGGTGCCTGGCGTGCTCTGGTCCATGGGGTCACGAAGAGTCGGGCACAACTAAATGACTAAACAACAACAATTTAATGAGGAGGTGAGGCATTTGCCATGCAAATAAGCACCCTGGATTTTGTGGTTTGTCATACCGCAAATGAGTTAAAGCAAGGACTGCTTTGAGTCACAACAGCCAATCCAGATTATATAAGGCAGGGTGATTTTTCTGCGTCTTTGTAGCTAAGTAGCTAGCTACTCCCATTGCAAATTAGTATTTAAAACAACAGCAGCAACAACAACACCTTAAAAGAGAGCAAACATCTTACCTATACCTATCACTATGGTTCTTTACTGGAGTTAAAAGTCTTGTCTTGCTGTAAACTGGCATGGAGAAATTGTTGGATGTCAACTCCCATCATCCCTGACAATTGACTTGATTGACAATTGTCAATCAGCTTGGGGCTGATGGGAGTTGTTGTCCAACAACATCAGGAGGCCTCCACAGTGACTACCCCTGCCTTAGTATTTTAGCTGGTGGGTTGAGACCAATACACCCCATGCCCCATTTTCTTTTTGTCTAGAGGGGCTGGGCTTTGACTGGGAGCACCCCAGTGCAAAAGAGGAGAATGGCTCTGTTATATCTCATAGGGTGGGGTCATCTTGCCTACACATCTGTGACTGGCGTGGGAGCCCTGATCTTTTTTGTATTGGCTTATTTTGGACGGGTGAGAAACATGGCCTCGCCCCCTCATGTTACACAATTCCCATCATCCCTGACTGTCGGCCATTTTGACTTTGGCTGATGAGAGGTAGGAGTCCAACAGAGGACTTGTGGGGCTGCATTTTATGCCTCCCTGTTCTAAGAGAGAGAGAAAGAAAGCGAAATGCTTTCACAAGTCCTCTCTGTAAACTGGGCCCCATGGTGCAGGCTGGGATTAAAGGTGGGTTTAAGCTTCCAGAAAACTGCTCCCTTTCTCTTATGGGTTATTCCAGAGTCTGTATAGAGTCCTTAAGTGGGTTCCCTATTGGTAGGAGAAAAATAACAGGCCAACCAGAGTATATTGAGAAGCAAATTGGCTAGTAAGCCTGATCTTTATTAAAGGAACTGGTGCAACAGGGTCCCCACTCACCACACGCAGGAGGGAGGAGAACCCTCAACAATGGTGCGCAAGCCCCTATAAAGACATTTGAAATTGCCCACCCTGTAGCCCAAGACCATCACCCCTAAAACATCATACATACATCACAGAAGGAGGTGGTCTCCAGCAGAAATTTGAGAGTGTTGCTTCTCTCCTGTCTGCTAGGATACCTAATAATGCCTTACTTGATTGCACTTTCTGGGTAGCCGGGAGATGGTAAATATTTTCGTTTCTGAATCTCTTACACATATTGATAGTTCGCTCAGCTTAACAGATAACTTGCCAGACTGTATTTGCAGGGAGGTGTAAGCCCCTACAGTCCAAAGACAATTGGAAAGGTTTGCCCATTTCCTTCCTCCTTGCAGAGAAATATTTGAGGTCAATTTGGGAAAGTCAAAATGGCTTCAGGATTGCTCTCCTGTACTATTTCAGACACGTGGTTTATATACTTATGTATGTGTTTGCCTTGTACGTTTATGAACATTTATTTTATATTTGAGACCTTAGAATTCTTATAACAGGAGCTTGCACAATTGCTCATGCATACTGAGCCTGAAATGAAGCTTATTAAGTATGTGTGACCTCCATATTTCACGGCAAGCCCCCTGCGCCACAGCTACTTGGTTGGCCCAGTGGTTTAGACCACAGCGCCACCTGTGTCCCTGTACCTCTCCTGCAATGCCACATTATTAACCTTAAAGGTGGGGCCTGGGTTATGCTTCACACACGCCTGGGTAAACTTGTGGTGTTTTGTGTTTGTTTTGGCTCTTAGCCATACAGTACTGGAGAAGGTGCCCCCCCCCTTTTAATGTTTTCTGGTTGCCTGCCCACTGTTGCAGGAGAAAATAATAATCACAATCCAACTCTTCATAAGAAGCGCAGTTTTTTCGAAGGGGGGAAGCTAGTTATCGTCCTTTATGCTTAGCTGGAAGGTAAGGCCTTGGTTGGATTCGGGCGCGGTGTGTGTGAGAGAGCCTTTTGCTCTGCCATCACATCAGCTCCACCCAATGTGGTAGGCCCATGCAGTAGAAGTGTGGGGCTGGCAAGGGGAAAGGGGTCTCAGGAAGGCAGGAAGATGGGCATTTTGCCTGCAGAGAATGAACAGGTCTTGCATTTTGACCTTGTTTGGTTTGTTTCCACGTATCCGGGCATGCAGGAAACCGACTTGAGAGGGCAGGAAGTGAAGCCATGACTACCCCAGATTGCTCTTGGCTGTGTACACTGACCCAGTGACCTAGACCTGCTCCCCGCCAGCCTTCCTCTTGTGAGGGAGGAAATGTGGTTCTTGGAAAGTCGGTTGAAGACTTGGCGTGAGGGGGCAGGACAGAAAACTGGTTGAAAATAAGAGGAGGTGGATTGTCCAATATGGCCAAAGATAGGAATGGTAGTGGCTTCTTTCCTGGGCCTCTAGAAACAACCCCTGTCAGGGGTGCCAACTTGAATAAAATATTGGGGGGGGGCAGGTAAGCCCTGCACATATGCAGTGCGCACACACCATAGGAGCCAATTCCTAGGGACTGAGGAGTCTTTGACCCCCCAATAAAACATTTGAGCCCCCCAAGTTAATGGGCATTGCCATTCAGAGAGAGCCGTGTCATGTGATCAATTATGTGGGGTGGAGTTCCCCCCCAATATTTTATTCAAGTTGGCACCCCAGACACACACCATTTGAATGACAATGCCCATTAACTTTGGGGGGCCTGGTTCCCTCAAATATTTTATTGGGGGGTACTGAAGAGACCACAGCCCCTAGGAGTTGGCTTCTCCGCCCAGACCTTCCAAGTGTCCCTGTTTTCCAGGGACATCCCTGATTTAGAGAAGCCGTCCCGGTTTCTGATTTTATCCCAGAATGTCCCGCTTTTAGGACATCCCTATTTTCATATATACATACACACATTTTTATTAATTTTTTTAACATATCAGTTCCAACAGTCATACAACATAACTTCTCATCTCATACAATATTTTTGACTTCCGTCAACACCTCTGATGATTTTCCGTTTTTATCACTTATTTTGCATTTCTTTCGGTATTACATATAATTAACTAATAGTTCTCTTCAGTCTTTTTTGCAATATTTCAACTAATCCACCTTACAAAACTTCTTGCAGTCCTACTAGCGTAATCTGTTCATGACAGTTACTTTTCAAATAGTTCATATATTTACTCCAGTCTTCTAAGAATCTCTGATCCCGCCGGTTTCGAACCCTTCCTGTTAACTTATCTCATTCTGCGTAGTCCATCAACTTCAGCCTCCATTTTTCCTTATTTTCATGGGGGAAATGTCGGAGGGTATGGAATGGGACGTCCCCATTTCCATGGGGGAAACGTCGGAGGATATGGAATGGGACGTCCCCATTTCCATGGGGGAAACGTCGGAGGGTATGGAATGGGACGTCCCCATTTCCATGGGGGAAATGTCGGAGGATATGGAATGGGACGTCCCCATTTCCATGGGGGAAACGTCGGAGGGCATGGAATGGGACGTCCCCATTTCCATGGGGGAAACGTCGGAGGGTATGGAATGGGACGTCCCCATTTCCCCACCGCCCTCTGTTATTAGCAGAGAGCGCTGAGGGAGATGGGAGCCTCCCGCCTGCCCCGACGCCGTCTCGGCAGCAGAGGGCTCCCCCGGGCCGGCCTAGGAGGCCCTTGCTGCCCGAGCCGGGATGGCGCTGCGCCGTCGAGGGCGCTCGATCGGAGGCGCTGCGAACCCCGCCAGCGGGAGTCCGCCCTAGGCGGGCAGCGGGTGTCTGCAGGGCGCGCCTCCCTCCGGGCCCAGGGCGGCACCAGGAGGGATGGCGCTGGTACAGCTGCTCGCGGGGGCCGGGCTTCGAGGCGGAGCCGGGCGGAGGACGCAGGAGCCCGGCTGCGGTGCCCCGCCACGGCCACCTCGGCGGGAGGGCAGCGTCGCGCCGGCCGCCCGTCCGTCCTCCCGCCCCATCGCCCGGGAGTGGGAGCCGGGCTGCCCTCGGAAGGTGTTGCCCGGCTGGGATGGCCGGCTTGAAGGGGCACTGCGCGCTTGGCACGGGGAGGAGCCAGGCTTTCCTATGGGCACTGGTGGGTGGCACTGCATGAGTTAGAAGAGAAGATCCACGTGCTGGCGCAGGCTCTGGTTGGCACCAGCGGTGGGCAGCTGCATGTGTGGGCTGGTGCCAAAGGCATCCCAAGGCAGCCTTGCCCTGGTGGTGGTGATGCCCTCCTTGCTGGACATTGCGGACTGACGGGAGAGAGTGGAGAGCTTGGGGGGAGAGAGGGCCAGGCAGCCCTGCGGGCACCGGGCTTGCCATGGCCTGGCGCCGCCTTGCCATCTTGCTTGGACTTTGCTTGGCCAGCTGCCTTTGGCGCCCTGCTCGGGGCTGCGGCCCGGGCAGGGGCCCGGTGGGGCGCAAGCAGTCTAGCCGCAAGAACCTGACCCCGCTGCAGTACAAGCAGTTTGTCCCCAACGTGGCGGAGCAGACCCTGGGCGCCAGCGGGAAAGCGGAGGGCAAAATCGGACGCCGTTCGGAGCGCTTCAAGGACCTGGTGCCCAATTACAACCCGGACATCATCTTCAAGGACGAAGAGAACACAGGGGCAGACCGGCTGATGACTGAGGTGGGTGCTGCTGGTTGGTTGGGCAAAGGTGGAGCCCAGATCTCTGAGGGCCTTTGACACATCCAGGGCTTAATTTGACGCAGGTCTCGGCCTAATATATTTGAAGCAATAACAAAATAAAAGCACAGTGTCTGTAAGTATATGCTGACCACCTTTCCACTCTCTACTAACTAGAATAAGACTTAACACATCACTGCGATATCCACATTAGAGGATATAACTTCTCATGAGGTTTCATTATCTCTTTCTATGAGTGTTAACCACTGGTCTCTCCCATAATTCCCATGTAGGAATTGAAGCTGGGCTTAAGCTCAAATAATCAAACACCAGTAGCTACCTGTAGACTAGCCTTTTTCTAGGTAACCTCTAGTTTTAAGATAAACTAGTTCTGCTGTTCTCTGTTTCATCCAGAGAGAGAGAGAGAGATTTTCCTGCTGGGCAGAGGCAGGTCTGAGTTGTAACCTGCTGTTTTCAGAATACACTACTTGGTTCAAAGGGGATCCTCAACAAACTTAATTCTTTTGTGCCACCGCCAGGAACTTGGGCTTTGGGACCTTGAAAGGAGAGTGACAGAGCCTATAGGAGCAGGTGGCATTTGCTAACTCACCGTGTCTGGGATCAATTGCTAGCAATGAACTTTCACTAGGGAGTTTGTTATTCTTCTTGGGCAATCGGATCTCTGGGAGAGTCACCTGCCTCTACTTCCTCAGGCAGGTTTATAGCACTTGGCTAATCTGAAATCTCGCATATCCACTAGTGAAGGAAGGAGAGGAGGACCTAATCCTGTCTCCTCAGCTGTGAATGGTCTCCCCTTCATCCTTTTCGCCCTTTGACAGTATTTGAGAAAAGAACCTTTGAGGCATTCAGATATCAAGCAGCAGATACATTATCACCCTCTGGACTTAGTGCACACCCATAAAACCTACAGTGGCCAGACCGAACACTTGGTTTTAAGATGGCTTCCCCCCCCCCATTTTCTACCCTGCAGTAAACAATATTCACATGTGTTGCAGTGTATGAGAGAGACTCAGGAGAAAAGTCTTAGTGTGCCTGAAAGCGCTCCGAGGGCTTTTCTTCACACAAGAGAGATGTTCCCTTAAATGCAGATAACTTTTGTGAACACCGTATTCCATGACATCTGAAATGCGTGGTCTTTAATCTGCAGTACGGAAAACCATCTTATCTCAAGACGTTTGCTACACTTTGCAAAGAATGACGGAATAGCCCAAGGTGGTGTTGTTGTTGGTATTAATTATTACTAATAGCCGTAGCAACTTTTTCATTTCTTAACACACACAGGCTATCCTTTTCTCAGGGTACTCTATACTTGAAGTTAAGTTTTTAATTCTGCATCTTAACTGCCATCATTTAAAAAAAAATTGTGCTGGAAAAGTCTATGATCTTGAGGCACCTTGAATGATTTTAAATTGAAAAGGGGGCGGGGGTAAAATGTATAAATTAATTTCAGTGTAGGAAAGAAAATATGGACTGCACATGTTTTCTCCATGGAGATTGATGAATGCATGAAAGAGTCATTCAGTGCAGTGGCGTAGCGTGGGGGGTGCAGGGGGGGCCGGCCGCACCGGGCGCAACATCTGGGGGTTAGGGTTAGGGGGCGCAAATCCACGGGTTAGGGGGCGCAAATCCACAGGTTAGGGGGCGCAAATTACTTGCCTTGCCCCGGGTGCTGACAACCCACGCTACGCCACTGATTCAGTGGTAGATTGATCAAGCAGTGGGGAAGTTAAACTTGAGTGTGTTTATATCAGGGCAAAATACTGAGTGCCCCCTCTGTCTCCAGGACCTCATACAGTCCCTGAAACTGGCACAGTGTAGGTACAAAACTGCTTCCAGCTCCTGCTTTAAGTTTCCTGGGATTCAGATGAATCAGTATAGGGCAGTGTGAGTGATAAACCACTGAGACAGGCTGAGAAAAGGAGAACCTTTTCCTCTTTCTTTCTTTCTTTCTTTTTTGCAAACCTCCCATTTCAGGCAAAACACAACTTTCAGAGAGTTACATTTTAGTCTGGTCAATTTCTAACTAGGAAAAAAACAACAACCCTGGAGCTGTCTCTCCAATTTCCTAATTGTTTAATATGCCCTGACCTTTGCTTTTGTTTTCTCCCTTGGACATTTCCAACTCCCTCCTCATTGCTTTTCCGCTTTGGTTTCCTGATGTCCTTGCAATAAGGTAACCCAAACTCATCTCCGCATGTTAACCCGCAAAATCCGGATCGGATAGGCGACGCAACACACAAAGGACATAAGCAAACAGGAGCTGTAAAGTACATAACTAAAAAACTGGATTGCATCCAATGGATTGTACCCAGAGTTGACCCATAGGTAGACCCATGAACCTAGTCATGTCCCATCAGTAGCCAATAGGTAGATTGGGCATTGGACAAATGTATGAAGAACAGGACTATCCGTCGTGAGCAATCTTAGAAAACCTCCATGTTAAGAGGCAGTTAAGAGGCAGTTAAGAGGCAGTTAAGAGGCAGTTGGGACGCGGGTAGCACTGTGGGTTAAACCACAGAGCCTAGGACTTGCCGATCAGAAGGTTGGCGGTTTGAAACCCCGCGACAGGGTGAGCTCCCGTTGCTCGGTCCCTGCTCCTGCCCACCTAGCAGTTCGCAAGCACCTCAAAGTGCAAGTAGATAAATAGGTACCGCTCCGGCGGGAAGGTAAACGGCATTTCCGTGCGCTGCTCTGGTTCTCCAGAAGCGGCTTAGTCATGCTAGCCACATGACCCGGAAGCTGTACGCCAGCTCCCTCGGCCAATAAAGCGAGATGAGCGCCGCAACCCCAGAGTCGGCCACAACTGGACCTAATGGTCAGGGGTCCCTTTACTTTTACCTTTAAGAGGCAGTTAAGTGGCCTTTGGATATCCACTGCCAGAGAGCCAGATCAGAAGAGCATTACAGTGGTACCTTAGTTCTCAAACTTCATCCGTTCTGGAAGTCCGTTCCAAAACCAAAGCGATCCAAAACCAAGGCGCGCTTTCCCATAGAAAGTAATGCAAAACAGGTTAATCCATTTCAGACTTTTAAAAACAACCCCTAAAACAGCAATTTAACATGAATTTTAATATCTAACAAGACCGTTGTTTCATAAAATGAAAGCAATAATCAATGTACTATACTATAAAATAAATAAGACACTATTGTAGGTGATGAAAATTAAAATTAATATTTTTTCTTACCTGCACTGATGATAGTCATTGTATAGATGGGGGGCTTTTATCCATTTCTGCAGTCACACAATCAGTCCGTAGCTGAACTAGGGTCCACACAGTCACAAAAACAAAATAACTGAAAAAGCCTCCAAAACAAAAATGCAAAATAAACAGCAAAAACAAAAGCACCAAATACAATGGTACCTTTTTGGTGTTTGGGAACCAAAGCGTTTGAGAACCAAGGTACCACTGTACTGTCTTTGTGCCTACCTTGTGTAATTTTTGTTGGCTATTTTGGAAAGCAAGGTAGAAGGCATTTTAGTCTGATCCACCAGGACTCTTTTTATATCCTTAGGGGGTAAGGGGGTAATACTTGTTAAGAGAAGCCACAATGGTAATACGGCTCTGGTTAGTCTTTGGGCGTTAATGACAATGAAACCTATTGCTACCTGTCTACTCAGCTGTGCTCTGGAAAGTTCAGTAGTGTACACAATAATATTCTCTTTCACTCTGATCCTAGAGGACGTCTTAAACCGGAAAAGTAGAGGTCTGTCTCTTTGCATTTGTGTGAGGTCTCACCAACATCTGAAGTTTCCTTTGGGTCACAGTGAAAACCTTTCTTGTTTCCAGTTCTAACATATAATCCTGCAAATGTGAACAAGGAAGACCTCCTGAAGTTTTGCACCTTGTCTGATTTAGGCAGGACAAACCTGCAGAACCTGCTGCCTTTGAAGCTAAATGCAACACGCCAATTGGTGCCACAGTTTTTTGCCGCCTGCCTCAGACTCCAAAGTCTCTGAGTGATGTTTGTGTGTTGAGCATTTGACGGTCCACAGGATGCAGCTGGTGAGCTGCATTTGACTCGGTCCAAAGGTGTGCAGATCTGTTGTTGTTGTTGTTTAGTTGTTTAGTCGTGTCCGACTCTTCGCTCTTTGTGACCCCCTGGACCAGAGCACGCCAGGCACTCCTGTCTTCCACTGCCTCCTGCAGTTTGGTCAGACTCATGCTGGTAGCTTCAAGAACACTGTCCAACCATCTCCTCCTCTGTCGCCCCCTTCTCCTTGTGCCCTCCATCTTTCCCAACATCAGGGTCTTTTCCAGGGAGTCTTCTCTTCTCATGAGGTGGCCAAGTACTGGAGCCTCAGCTTCAGGATCTGTCCTTCCAGTGAGCACTCAGGGCTGATTTCCTTCAGAATGGAGAGGTTTGATCTTCTTGCAGTCCATGGGACTCTCAAGAGTCTTCTCCAACACCATAATTAAAAACATCAGTTCTTCGGCGATCAGCCTTCTTTATGGTCCAGCTCTCACTTCCATACATCACTACTGGGAAAACCATAGCTTTTAACTATGCGGACCTTTGTTGGCAAGGTGATGTCTCTGCTTTTTAAGATGCTGTCTAGGTTTGTCATTGCTTTTCTCCCAAGAATTGGGATTTTAATTGGTATATAACTTGTTTGACCCAATAGCTTGGAGAGCTGTGAATGGAATTGCTTTTGTTTTCATGTTTTGCAGAACTATATTCCTAGTTAAATGCCCCCACCTTAAATTGAGCATACAAAGAAATGACAGGCTTCAAATGGAAGACTGGGGCAGAGGGATAGAAACGGTGGGGATTGAAATATATATATATCACGTTTTCAAGTTAGGATGGGTGTTTTCTACATCAGTGTAGCCTAAGAAATAGGGAACTTGGGAACAGGGCAGTTGTGTGCTGCAAATTCCTGGGCTAAAGGGTGCTACTGTTAAAGGCACAATTGTGCAGTACCATTTCACCAGCAGACATAGCCTGGCAGAAACATCATGTCTGCATCCTGCAGCTGTAAAA